TGTTATTTGGCTTTGAAGGATAAGCCCAAATCAACAATTGCTTCAAGTAATCATGTAGATTTCTATTGTTTCTTCACTGATTTTACTTCCAAGGCATATCAAAATTGTAGTAAACATTCTATAAGACATCTGCTCATTGTGAGCTGAAGTTATTCATCAATTCATCATCATCAACAACCTATTGCAAGATTTTAAGTTTTTGGTGACCGGTTTAGGTTTAAGGATTTAGACTTTAGTAAGATTTAAGTTTAGGTTATGACGGAATGATTTTAGAGTTTTAAGGGCATTTTTAAAATTAAATAGCTCTTTCCGGTTAAAATTTCCTTTCAGTATATTTATCATTGAAGTGTTTGAGCATTTTTAACAAATTCACAAAGCATTCTAAGATCTCGCATTTGCGAGCTTAACGTAAAGATCGGAGCACATGCAGAACACCAACCCAAAAGTTTCAATACTTGGGATTTCTTGTTGTTGATTTGATTGGGCCGACCGATGAAGCAAGCTAAATAAATAGAGTACATGATGATCAAGACATTGAAGGTTATTTGTGTAGGACAAATAGTTTAGTGAATTGGAACCCGTTTGAGCGACGAGTAATGCTGTTTAGATTGGTTGTATTTTGTCAGACATGTAATGAAGTAATCTAGTAGTTTCAACCTTTGCTTTTCCAAGAAACTTTTGGCAATTGTAAGGAATCTACAATGGTCCTTCTTGCTAATAATTCAATCCAAAAATTGTCTCTTGCCATTAGAAAAGGAACAACCTATTATGATTACACATATTTTGGTCTTTAGAAGGCTTCCACCATGCAATAATATATTGTATGAGTGCTAAGTGAATGACTAATCAACCATTGATCTCTATATAAACCAAGTTTTCTATCTTTGAGTGCAGAATCTTAATGAATTATGAGACTATTAATTCCTTAGAGAATTTAACACTAGTTTTGGCTTTCAGTGTATTAATTTTCTCTAGATTGGGAAACATATCTATACGAATAGCATATAAGATCTGATTTGCATGCATCATAAATCAAGCCATCTCCATTGTTACAATGCTTATGGAAAATATAATGTTGCAAGACATCAAACAAAAATTACATGCCAAATGCTATGTTGTATATATTTCCTAAACATGGAATGTAAAATTTATATTCAGCTCTACCAAAATAAGGGTTATTTGGCCCAAAAGACTCATCTTCATGCTATTAGTCAATCTCGTAGCAATATTGGATTATTTATTATTCCAACCATCTCAGTAGGTACTCGAGATAGTTGAGGTCAAAGCCATAAAAATCATCGCCTGTGGAACCATTTTGAAGACCATTGGCCTGTGGAACCATTTTGAAGACCATTGGCCTGTGAAACTTTTAACATAATACCTTTCTTCATAGCTTCAATATCTCTTATAGAAGGTTCAATTAATTTGACATGATCCTCTAGCCTAGCAAAGGAAAACCTAGATTGATTGGTATTTTGTGAAATCTATGATCTTGAAAGTGCAGCAGAAGCTTTTTGGCCTCATTGCCACTGACTATCCTAGATAAGTTATCAGCTAGTAACATTAACTCATTCCATATATATATATATATATATATATAATGAAGTTTCACTCCTTTGTATGTACAGTTGCATCTTTATCACTTCTACTTAAATCATTAGTCACAATACTGTCTAAAAATTTTTCAGGTTTGTACATATTGCTAAGGCCTACTTTATTTCCCACATTTGAAGGGGCCTGATTAACAGCTGCATTTATGGGCAAGATAGACTCTCCTGATGAAGAGTTGATAGTTCCATCAAGTTCATATAAATTACTGTATGGCTAATGTTTGTAATTACTAAAGAGCGGGTAAAATAAGGTGAGCATGATCTCTAAATGATGTCGCCAGAGCCTAATTATTTAATATCAACAATAGCCAAAGAAATATCTTTATCCCCATCTTTAGTAGATTCAAAACCCATCTTTAATAAGTCTAAATTCCAACAGGATGTAGAAATGTCATCTGAAGAGACAGTCACTTCAAGGGATGGAATTTAAATTAAATTTCCAAGGTCTTCAGAAGCATGCTCGTCTTTTGTATGCAGTTGGCCTTTCATCATAGCAAGGTCCTTTAATTTAAAAAAGAAAAAAAGTTTGAGTATATGCCATTTGGTATGTTAACCATTAATCATTTGGAATGACAAACATTTTTTTTCTTTTGGTTAAAATATTGAATTAAATATATATGATTTATTCATTTCTATTATTGTTACTATTATTTTTTTATTAATTATGTGGGGTTTTTTTCCATTTAAAATTTCGGTAACCTCCCGGCATTACCCCCCCCCCCCGTCGGCCTTTCCCCCCCCCCCCCCGTGTAGGAGAGTATCAGGTAGGCACTTGCATTTGTTCATCCCGGACAGATCAAAGATACGATGGTGCATGTTTTCATGTATTCTCGTTGTTTTTTTTCTCCTGGCCAGGTCAAAGATACGACGAACGAGGGTCTTGGATACCTATCGTTAAAATAAAAAAGATAGAAATGTATACATTTTATTTTAGTGCAGAAAGAGTGACGTTAACGAATCGATCAAGTTAGGTTGAAGTTGTGGGAGATTGGGTCGGTCTGGAGAGGCATCAGGTCGCACGGGGTCGGGCGTAGGAGATCGAGACAGCTCGAGCTAGATTGAACAGACAAAATGAAGTTGGGTCTCTAGGGTTCCTGGGATGATTATTGCGTGCGCTGCTTCAACTAGAGTCCAGTGACACAAAGAAATTGAGTCGAAGAAGGGCTCAGAGGCTTTGGCTACTGCATTCGACTGAGGGAGGATGAGAAAGAATAAGTGAGTTCAATTCCTTCGGCTCCTGAGTGTGAATGAATAGAGAGCGAGAGGGAGATTTGGCTGCCTCCTATTATGTGAGGGAGTTACGTGAGTGGGTGGTTATGAGATCGTGGGGAGTTATGTGGAGCGGTTAGTGGGTTAGTGGGTCAGTGGCCATCAATATGTTTGGATTTCCCTACTATGTTAAGACAATGTGCATGAGTACTTATATATTGTGGCGAGCTTGCATTACATTACTAACTTGTGCGTGATGATGTAGACAAAAATTGAAGTGGAGAGATAACAAGTTTGTGACAAGATCAAACACAATTTCTCTCTCTTTCTTATGTTTTCTCTTTCTTCTTTTTTATGTTGATTTTTTTATGCTCAGTGTTCTTAACAAAATATATACATAAAAAAAGAAAGAGAATGGAGAGAATTATATGTAGATAGAAAAAAGGGTGAGGGTGGAAAGAGTATGATAGAGAGAGAGAATAAGAGTGAACGACATAGGGTTAGAGTTACAATGAGAGAGAGTGCTAGCGGTTTTATCGTGGTTACATGGATTAGGCAAGGCCGATGGCATTGAGCTTGGAACAAATATCACCGAAATTAGAAGAGGATGAGCAAGTTGTTGTAGTTCAGTGTTATCAAAGATGAGATTGATGGTTGACTTGAGATAAAGTGGTGGATGCTAGCATTTGTCAGCATCGAGCTTGGAACATAGGTATCCAACATCAGAGGATGGGCAAATTATTGAGTCAGGTGACCGGACGCGGAAATAGGTCCGGATATTAATAAAATATTATTTTAAATTAAGCGCAGGTAAAGCGCAAGTAAAGCGCAGGTAAAGCGCAGGCAAAGCGCAGGCAAAGCGCAAGTAAAGCGCAAGTAAAGCGCAGGTAAAGCGCAAATAAAGCGCAACTAAAGCACAAGTCAAAAGCGCAAGTCAAAAGCGCAGATAACGCGGCAAATTTTTATTGGATGTCCGAACTTATTTTTCGCCTCCGATCACCTGACCCAATAATTTGCCAGAGGATGAGGCATTCGGTGATAAGAATTGGATAAGATTTAAGCAGGATTTAACTTAAATACTATTGAAAAGAAAAAATTACAACTTCAAATCCTACGATATCTTATATCAGATTTCTCTATTATCCCTTAATAAATACACTCAGTGGACAATTGCACATGTCATGAACTCTTTTTCTTCACACGTTGGTCCCATCAAAGCATTCTCCAACAAATTCCTACTGTGACTTCCTCGCCATTTTTTCATCAACAGTCTCAGGAACTAGGGTGGGGGCAAAAGGTGAAGAAGGAAAGAGGTAAAAGCGAGAGCAAGTAGCAAGTTCTGAGAGGAAAACAACATGAGAGAAGTGCGTGCTGAGGCTGGAGATGTACACAAGCAGGATAGAGAAAAGATATCGCAGCGCATAACGAGAAATAGGGGGGATAAAAGGGAGAGCAGGGGTCAAATTAGGGGGCTTAATAACATTAGAGGGCTAGGGGGCGGCCTTGATGGATGGGCATGGGTATTAAGTTAGTGGGATTTTGAAGTTTTGATAGTAGAAGGTTGTTGTAGATTGACTGATTGATTGAATTTTTATTAAATTTTTAAAAGAAATACAATTATAAGTGCGTTCTTAGTCTAGTGCAGTTTTTCATTTTTTTATGCGTCTCAAATTTTGTGTAATTGTCTCAAGTGTGAGTAAATTTTGTATTTCATTTTCATACAGTAAATTGGTCAATATAAGTGCGTTTTCTATGTAATTTCAATGTTCCAAAAGCGTCAACATAATCTGTTTTACAAAATGGGTCATAGTTCCATGATTTTCATTCTGATTAAGGCATTTCAAACCAATTTCATGCAACGATGCATTTCAAGCTAAATTTCCATGACATTATGCCCATTAACCATCATTCGGTCATTTTTTATCAAATCGATCATAGAATAAATATAAGGATCAACATCATACGACTAAATGTTTTTCATAGAAAAAAGTCCTCTATGATTAAAAAAATTTATTACTTTTACCGAACTTTCACAAGCATCATTGACCTCGAAATAATAATTTATAAAGTCAGCCCAACAACATTAGTAGATTATAATGTTTCCCATAACTTGTACAAAAAAAAACCAACAATGAATGAAATAGATTCAAAGAGAAAAGGGAGAAAACAATATAAACTTACTTGTTCATCGTGAGAAAATTTACAAGAAGATCCACGATTACACTCGCCCCTTTGAAAAGAACGGCAAATTCCATGGGCATCTCTCTTCTCTCTCTCTGTTTCCTCATCTTCTTCTTCTTTTCTCTTATAACTGTTAACATGATCAACCCTTATAATTCGACCAAGAACCTTAGCACCATTCAAGTTATCTACATAAGACAAAATAATACACAATGTTGATCATTCTTTAATGAAAATAATGTTTCCAATGCGCCAGTGGGTAAGTAAAGGAATAAATTCAAGATGACCAACCTACAGCTAGAATTGTGCTCCTTTGATCTTCATAAGCAAGGAAGGCAAAACCCTTGGATTTTCCAGAGGCTTTATCCCTAACAAGATTAACATCCACAACTTCTCCATACCTAAGAATCAATTTAATTATCAGAAAAAACCGACTATGACATTTGTTTTAAGGAAAATAAAATGTATAAAGAACAATGATAAATTTACCATGAATACCACTTTGTAGTTAAAAGTTACAGAGGAATTCACCATAACACTAGCAAAACTACTACTCGTGGATCATACCAAAAATCAAAACAGATGCATTGATCAGTTAGAATTCTAAACAGGACATTGAACAGAAAATAATTCAAAGTAACAAAAGAATGCAAAGCTAAATCTCTCAATAAAAATCTTTCTAAGCATTAATATATAACTTGTGCAGAATATGGTACATATACATAACGGATAAATGAAAATCTTGAAATCATGATATGAAATTTGTTCCCTACAAAATATTCCACCCATGAGTTCTGAAATAAGGATTTATACGATGAAATGCAGTAGATAAGCGTTTATCCACATCCACTTCATCAATTTCTGCCATGTTACAGCCATATTTTTAGGGCCTTTTGGGATCACTTTTTTTTTTCTTTTTCTTTTTTTAAACATGTTCGTTTGATGTATATTTTATATGATTTTATTTATTGTTTTAAAAATATATCACATAGTTTTTAAAAATACTCAAAATAACTTTTAGGTGTCTTGAGTGTTTTTAAAAAAAATTCACCGCCATTCATCAACTCGTGCCCACTGTTGACCATTACTGTCACCCACCATCAGTTGCCACTAGTTAGCCACCACCACCACCACTATCACCGCTGGCCACCCTCATCATTGGTCATCGGCCAGCACCTATCACCTCAACTGACCACCTACCAATGCCTCAACCCATTGCTGGCGAACATTATAACCCACAGTCGTTGACTTCTTTTGACCACGATCTCCACTAGCAACCACCACTGCCACCATCAAATAAAAATAAATATAATACATTTTTAAGATCCAAATATATGTTATTTCAAATCAAAACATAAATAAAGCAAAACAAAAAAAAATAGTGATCCCAAACAGCCCCTTAGAAACTCATGACTAGAGCAACATTTGATTGGGTTTCTCACTTACTCTGTGATAGGATGTACTGATGCAAAACAAACGAGTACTCTATGGGTGTGAAAAGCTGCAAGAACTTCCAATATTTTTGCTTAAGACAGCATAACAGAGATTGTGGAGAGAAAAGTTGCTACTTTTCTAACCTTTGTTGACAAGTCAGTAACAAACCAAAAAAATGAACCGTGAAAGGAAATAAGATTTCAACTAGCAAGTACTGACCTCCACCAAACTATTGTATTTTGCAAAAGAATCAGCCATATTAATTTTCAGAAATCATAACTTGTCACACCTAGAAAGACCAATGGTACAATCTCCAAAGTCTTCATTATTATTTCCAGAGATTAATAAAAAATTCATAAGGCACAAAAAGCTTGATCTATTTACACATCATTCTTTTCAACTCCTAAAATCACGCAACCCTTCCATATAAATAACTCCTGGAATGAAAATCTTGAACCATAGAGTGCAAAATTTTTCCATAAAACTTAGAATGAGTTTCAAAATACAGTTTATTTGATGAAATACAATAAAAAGAAATAATTGTTATGATAATATTACATTTTGAGAAGTCTTTGTTGAGCATAAACCCACCTTATATTTCTAACTAGCATCTTTATAAAGAGAGCGCTCAATGGACATTACTTCGCTAGGTGTATTTATAACCCTAGAAAAATTACCTATTTAAAGCAAACTAAAGAAACGAGCAAAGAGAAAAGTATTTTGTGAAAACACTGTAATAGAATTAATGCATCTGCTATGTCGTTACTCTCGTGTCCTTATGTCTGATGTACATGTGTATTTATAATGCTTTGTGTATACAGGTGTGTAGCCGTGATTTGTTCCGTCTGTTACAAATGGATGGTCTGGATTACAAGAGCCATGTGATTTGTTGAGTCTCGTTCTTGTGGAGGAACTCGTCTGTCCTTTTTATCCCCCGTCAAGCTGAAGGATCTATGTGAACCTTCAGTTTGGCGCAAAGCTGGTGGAAACGCGTTGTGGAGAGAGGCTTTGTGAGGATGTAGGCGATCTGATCCTAGGTGCTGATCGGCAGAACTTGTATGATGTTAGAGTAGATCTGATGTCGAATGAAGTGATGGTAGATTTCTATGTGTTTCGTCCTTGCATGGAAGACGGGATTGTTAACTAATACTATGGTTGAGATGTTGTCGCAGTGGAGGTCTATCAGGTGCAAGATGGGTACTTTGAAGTCTTGTAGTAGCTGGTGTAGCCATATGATGTCTGTGATGGCCGCGACCAAGGCTCTGTATTCTGCCTCCGTGGATGCTCTTGCAACAGTATGCTGTTTCTAGACGCTCCATGAGATTGGTGTGTTGTCGAGAAATGAGCAGTATCCTGATGTATATTTCATTGTGTCGGTGTTGCTCGCCCAGTTTGCATCTGAGTATGAGTGGAGTTGAAGTGATCCATAGGAAATTGATATGCCATAGTTGCTTGTGCCTTTGATGTACCAGAGTAACCTTTTAAGATGGTATGAATGATATGGTTGTGGGTTATGCATGTGTTGGCAAAGTAGGTTCACATGGTAGGCGATGTCTGGTCTTGTGATGGTGAGGTATTGTGGAGAGCCCGTGAGTTGTCGGTATGTGTGGGGCTTGTTGAGAATAAGGTCAGGCAGTATATTTTGTGGGGGTTTTGTGCATGAGGGGTTGGATAGAGGTTTGCAAAGGTTGAGGCCTGCTATGTTGAGTATGGATGTGGCGTAATGAGTTTGAGAGAGAAATAGGGATTGGTCATGAGTTGTGATGTTGATGCCAAGAAAATTATTGGTTGTACCTAAATGTTTCATGGCAAATGTTTTATGCAATTTCAATATGATGCTGGAGATGAGAGAGTTATTATTACCTGTGAGTAAGATGTCGTCAACGTATGTGAGTAGATATATCTTCTTGAGAGAGTATGAGTAGAGAGGGGTCTGCTTTGCTTGGGTGGAAGCCAATTTGTTGTAGAAATATTGAAAAAGTTGTGAACCATTGTCTGGAGGTCTGTTTAAGTCAATAGATCACCTTGTGAAGAAGGAAAATGTGGTTCGGGTGTTGAGCGCTCTCATATCCTTGAGGTTGTTTCATGTATACGTTGTCTGTCAATTAGCCATGTAAAAAGGCATTGGCTACGTCTAGCTGGTGGACTTCCCAATTTATGTTGAAAGCAATTGTAAGTAATAACCAGATGGTTGGGAATTTGGCTACTGGACTAAAAGTTTCCAGGTAGTTGATCCCATATTATTGTTTGTGCCCCTGAGCTACCAATCGTGCTTTGTTTGTGGCTATGGAGTTGTTGGAGTGGAATTTGGTTTTGTTTGTCCATTTGCAACCAAGAATGGAAGTGTTTGATGGGGGTGGGACCAGAGTCCATATTACTTGCTGTTGTAATGCAAGAAATTATGTGGCCATTGCTTGTCTCCAGTGTTGATGTTTGGATGCCTCATGGTATGTAGTTGGGTCTTGAGGTAGGTGGTTATCATTCTGGGAATGTTGATGAAGTAGGTTTAGGATTGTCTTTGGTTTGAGGGATCCCGTTTTAAGCCTTGTTATCATTGGGTGACTGGATACTAGTGGTGGTATTGATGGGTGGGGAGTTGAGGAGGATGAAGTGGAGGTAAGGGTATTGGGTGAAGGGTTTGTGGGAGTGGTGGTTTGTGATTCATGGTTTGTAGTGTGATGGGAAGGGGTAATATGTGTGGAAGGTATGGTGTTGAGTTAGGTTGTGAGTGTGAGAAGCAAAGGATTGGATGGAGGAGTTTGGGTGGTGATGTTATTGCAGCTTGGGCAAATGGGAATGTGGTCTCATGAAAGTTTACATGTCTTGAAACGGTTATGTGGTTGGTGGTTACTACAGGAAAATCGTCAATTACCGGCGGATTTTTCCGGCGGCTTGCGGGCGGCATATTTTTCCGTCTGCTTTCCGGCGGCCTAAATTTTAGAAAAAATTCCGACGGTTTTCCGGCGGATCTTCCGTCGATTTTCCGGCGGCTTTTAATAATTAATTTAATAAATTAATAATTTTGGTTTATTTTACCTAATTTTTAATTTATTTTAATATATTATTAATTTAATAACTTAGTCTAATTAAGTATTAATAAAATAACATATTTAATTAATTATTAACTTTAATATTTTATTTTTTTATTAATTTTTAATCATAATTTTAATAAGATATAGTTTAAATAAATTATAATATAAAGTTTAACACATTTTCAATGTTAACATAGTGGTTGGGACTTAGCAAAACTGAGGGGACCCGGTTCGAATCCTGGGCAGGGAGCATGCAGCCGGGCAGTGCAGGTAGGAGTCCAGGCGGGCAGCGGGCTTTCTGGGCGGGCAGCTCGAGCAGACCGTCCTGCGGGCAGCTGGCAGGGCGGGAGTTCGGGCGGTCAAGGCGGGAGAACGACCGGGCAACGGGCAGTGCAGCTCGGGCAATGGGCAGCCGGGCAGGGCGGAGGTTCTTGGGCAATGTTTTTTTTTTAATTTAATTTTAAATATTTTCCGGCGGTTTTACCGCCGTAAATATTTTTCCGACGCCTCTTTTACTGGTGGAAAATTTGTCGTCGGAAAGCCGTCGGAAATTTATAAAACCGCCGAAAAAAAGACCATTTTCCGCCAGAAAATGCCTCCGGAAATGATTGATTTTCCTGTAGTGGGTTAGGTTGAGGCACTTGTACCCTTTGTGAGATTTGAAGTATCCCAAAAAAATGCATGAGGTAGCTCAGGGAGCCAATTTGTATCGGTTGTGTGGAGGAATGCACGGGAAATAAGCACATACAAAGGTTCTTATAATGGAATAGCCAGGGGTTTTATTGTATAAGAGTTGTAGTGGGGATTTATTGCGGTTTGTATGGGATGGGAGTCTGTTAATTAGGTAATAGGCAGTTATTGTTGCATCTGGCCAGTATGAGTAAGGTAAAGATGTTGTGTTTAATAAGGTTCTTGTTGTTTCAATGAGGTGTCAG